CACACAAACTCAAGAGCCAAGGCAATCTTGAGAAAAAGAACAAAGCTGGAAGCATCACACTCCCTGTCTTCAAACTATACTACAAAGATACAGTCATCAAAAAAAGTTTGGTGCTGGCACAAAAACAGAGAAGTAGATCAGTGCAACAGAACGGAGAGCCCAGAAGCAAACTCACACACTTGGTCAATTAATCCATGACAAAAGAAGCATGGGTATTCATTGGGGAAAAGACAGTCTCTTCGTTAAGTGGTGCTGGGAAACCTGGACAGCTACAGGTAAATGAAACTAGAACATTTCACAGCATATACAATAATAAACTCAAAATGGCTTAAAGACCTAAACATAAGACTAGAAGCCATAAAATTCCTACAAACTTTAGGCAGATAATCTTTGGCATACATCACAGCAATATGTTTTTGGTATCTGTCTCCTCAGCAAAGGAAATGAAAGCTAAAATAAACGATGGGATCTAAATAAACTTAAAAGATTTTGCATAGCAAAGGCAAACATTAACAAAATGAAAAGACAACCTACTGAGTGGGAGAAAGTATTTCCAAATTATATGATAGATAAAGGGTCAATATCTGAAATATATAAACAGGTCATACATCTCAAAGTCAACTAAACCCGAACAACCCAATCAATAAAATGGGCAGAAGATCTGATGGACATTTTTCCAAAGGGGACAAGCAGATGCCAACAGGCACTGAAAAGGTGCTCAGCAGCACTCGTCATCAGGGAAATGCAAATCAAAACCACAGTGGGATATCACCTCGCACCTGTCAGAATGGCTAGAGTCAGTAAGACCGCAAATAACAAATGCTGCTCAGGATTTAGAGGAAAAGGAAAAGATATGCACACATCTCAGTATTCATAGCAGCCTTATTTACAGTTATCAAGATATGGACGCAACCTAAGTGTCTGTCAACAAATGAATGGATAAAGGAGATGTGGTATAAGTATACACACACACACACACACACACACTGGACTATTTTTCATTTATGAAAAGATTGAAACTTTGCCATTTGCAACAGGCAGTATAGATGGATCTGGAGGGTATTATGCCTACTGAACTAAGTCAGACAGAGAAAGTCAAGTATTGTATGTAGAATCACACATACGTAGAATCTAAAAAATAAAGCAAGCAAACTGGTGAATATAACAAAACAGAAACAGACTCACAGATATAGAGAACAAAATCATGGTTACCAATGGGGGAGGGGAGGGGAGGGCATGATAGGGCAGGAGATAAGAGACACAGCTACTAGGGATGAAATAAATAAGATAGCAGGGTACACTGTACAACACAGGCAATGTAGCCAATGTTTTATACTAACTTTAAGTGGACTGTAACCTATAAAAGAATTGAATCACTATGTTGTACACCTAAAGCTAGTATAATCTCCACAGATATTTTTAAATGTCAGAGAAGAATACATAAGCTGGTTACTTACAAATGCAACAAATTGCTGAACTATCAGACTTTCACAATGCAATACAGGTGGAGAGCGGATCTTTCAGTGTATATTGTTGTTCCACAGCATTTCATGTCAGACAGCCTTTTGGCAGTAAATAATAGTACTCATATCTATTCTCAGTTAGCTTTTTATGTATTTACAGGTGATAAGAACTAAGGAAAAGCTTCTTGCAGTGTGAAAAGACTCAAAGCTAATAACAGCCATTTGCCCCAAGTCAAGACTCTGCTCTGTGCACAACAGTAGAAAGACACGTGGTCTAGTAGGTATCACTTCTGACCTCTTCCTTAGACTGTACTTCATCATGAGTTTCTACTCCAAAAATAGTGGGATATAACGAATGTTCAGCAACAAATAAAAAGGTTATGAAGACCAGAGAGCTGTCCTTACCCTCCCCTTTACAACGAACGAATCCATTACACTTCTGCTTTGAAGAGTAAAGCAATGTATGTCAAAATCATTTTGGAGGCAACAACATAAAAACAGGGTCACAAATTTCTTTAAAGGTCACAGGATTTCTGCATCCCTATTGCTTTCTAAGTGTCCTTGATTTCTTGCTTCACTCTAAAAAAACAAACACAAAACCCAAAAACTGAAAATCAGAGTGATGTAGGGTGGGTGTAGTTTATGCAATAAAGACGAAGCAAAGAGCTAAGTCAAAGCCTTTCGTCTCTAAATCAGAAAAGATGCAAGTTAACATATTTCAGGGTTATATAAAATTTATATAATAGGTATGTGTATGTGTTTTGTTTTCCACTTTACCTGACTTTTCTAATTAAGCTATGACTTTTCTAGCCTGGTATTGTCAAATAATGCGATCTATAAAACACATCGCTGGCTGCCGCGGAGAGAGCGCGCCCAGCCCGCCGTGATACCCGCGAGCTCAGGGCGCCTCCTCTCGCCGCGGCCCCGGGCCCGGTCCGGCCGCCCCGCATCTGCTACTGGGGCTGCTGAGCCGGAGCGGGCGCTGGGGCGCGCGGGCACAGGAGCCGGGGGTGGGGGGCAGGTGCAGCGTCGGACAGGTCCCCCCCAGCCGATGGCGGGGACGGGCAGGACCCGCACGCCAAGCACCTGTACACGGGCACGGGCACGCGCGGCATCCAGAGCGCCGCGCACTGCGTCATGTTCTCCGCGCCCTGGTAACTGGCTGCACCGCCGGCCTGGGGCTCCACGGGCGCGGATGGGGCCGGGGCCCCGCACTGTGCACTGGGGGGCGCGGGGAGGCGCGGGGTGGGCGGGCGCGGTCCGGGACGGAGGGGGAGAGGGCTGTCC